ACATTATTAGAAATTCATATTGTGTCTGCGTCCTTGTTCCACATAATCTTATTATGCGAAATACACTCATTCAATATCTCGCCCTATTAACAGTGCGGATAACACCGTTCCATTCTAAATGGGAATGACATGTATTAATAATGTTTTAATTAAAAATTTTAAACTTTAATTAAATTCATCATGAACAATGTTTTTGATTATTATCCTTAAACACTATCCTCTCGTATATAACACTTATATACTATGTTTAAGGTTACATAAACAATCACGGAATTTTCATTTGATATTCATAAAATATTCATAAATATATGCACATAAAATGATGAATAAACTCTTTTATTAATTAAATAATAAATATCCTATTACATCTCATGCTTCTAGGACACTATTCCCAACAGTTCCTTCTTCCACCCTATCTAGCCTCTCATGTATGTGTTCGAGCTCCACCCTCATGATCCGTTTCGTCTCTCCCATGAACGCCTGCATTTGTAAATTCGGCGTGACAGTAGGCAGAATCTCTTCAATTGTGGTTTTCTCTTGGTTCTGTGACATGATTAAAAGACAAAAAGGTGTGTTTTTTTTCTCAGAAAATAATTCACTCAACTCTCGTGTTTCACTCAAGTTAATTGGCTTTTACCCTCTAATAAGCTCACACACTCTGCTTTTTTCCTCTCGTATTCTTCTTTTAGTTCTTTCAAAACTAAACCAACAATAAGAAAAGAAATTCAAGTAGTTAATCAAGTCAAGACTTAATCCAAACAAATTTAAATATTGTCACGGAAATTTTTTTTGACACTCAAACTTTAAGGGTTCTGAAACTATTGAAAACAAGCTATTTTTGGCCCCAAAAACAGGGCCACCGGGCTTTGTCTGGGTAAGGATTGTAGGGCTCAAAAAGACCTTCGATTTGATATATTATACGTCCCGTAAAGATTCCTGGATCAAAAGTTATAGCAGTTTTCATTAGGTTCCTTCTTTTCCTGAATTTTTTTTTCGACTTTGTAAAACCCTAGTTGAATTTGAATTCAGCAATAGGGTTTGGACTCAAACTCAAAACAAGGAAAGGATGGTTAATCATTTTCTCTGTTTTTTTTTTTTTTGAATTGAGAAAACCCTAATAATGTGCGATTTTTTTGTTTTTGATAAAGAAAGAAAACGTAATAAACAAAAAAAAAAAAGGATAGCAAAACCTGACGATCCTAAGCTCTGATACCCCCGGGACACCCCTGGGACACCCACAGGGCACCCCCGGGACAACCCCGGAGCATCCCCGGGGCACCCCCGTGTCACCCCCGGAACACCCCCGGGTCACCCTTGGAACACCCCCGGGGCACCCCCGTGACAAAATTTCGCAGCCATATTCTGTGATTGGATGCCTCATAACACACTATGAACTCTGCCGCTATGGTAGAATAGGCTATAAGAAATTGTTTAGCGCTCTTCTAGGAGACAACTTCCCATCTAGCAGGTAAATATAGCCCGATATAGATTTCATACTATCTTGGCATCCAGTAAAATCAGAGTCAGTATACCTAACAATCTTAAGCTGATTCGACCTCCGATACGTGACCATGTACTCTTTTGTTCTCTGTAAGTACCACAAGACCCGTTTGGCTACTCTCTAATGGTCTACTCTTGAATTACTTAAATATTTGCCAAACATCCCAACAATGTACGCAGCATCCGGACGCATACAAACCTGAGCATACATCTGACTTCCTAATGCTAACGCATAAAAAATCTTTTGCATTTTCTTTTCCTCAAAATCATTCGTGGGGCACTGATTGAGACTAGATTGGTCTCCTTTAGCCACGGGGGTATCACCTGGTTTGCAATCCTGCATGCCATATCTCTTGAGAACCTTTTCAATATAGCTCTTTTGTGATAATCCAAGAATATCCCGAGAGCGATCCCGGTGTATCTGTATGCCTAATACATAAGAAGCGTCACCAAGATCTTTCATCTCAAAATTCTTAGCTAGAAATCTCTTGGCTTCGTGCAATAAGCTAGCAAGCAAAATATCATCGACATATAAAACTAGAAAAATATACTTGCTCCCACAGAACTAATGGCATATACAATCATCAACCAAATTCATCTCAAAACTAAACGAGATGATCATTTGATGAAACTTGAAATATGATTGTTGAGATGCTTGTTTGAGCCCATAGATGGATTTCTTAGGCCTTGTTCGGCAGACTCATTTTTGAGTCAAAAACTCAAAAAAAGCAACTTGAGTTATAACTTTATTCAAGTTCATGTTCTTTTAAGTTTGAACTTAAGTTTGAACTCGAGTTTAAACTCGAGTTTAGGACTAAAACTCGAGTTCAAGTTTTCTCTTCAACTCGAGTTCAAAAACTCGAACTCAAATTAATGAACAATATTTTTTCAATTCTTAAAAATGCTATAACTTTTTCGTTTTAATTTTGATTGAGATTTTTTTTTTCTATGCGTTGATAACAAAAAGATGAATAAAACCCCATTGATATACCCTATTAAAATTTTCCATCAGAATTTAGTTTTTATTAAAATACTATTTAAAAACAAATTCAAGTTTTGACTCACTCAAACACAAACTCAAAAAGATTCTTATCTCAAACCATAACTCAAATGTACACAACCAAACACAAACTCAAGTTACAACTTCAACTCAAGTTATAACTCAAACTCAACTTAAAATCTACACTCAAGTTACCTAACTCAAAAATGCCAAAAGAACATGCCCTTAAGTTTGCAAATTATATTCTTTGGGTCTCCCGATACAAAGTTTTCTGGTTGCACCATATAGATTGTCTCATCAATGTTTCCATTGAGAAACACTGTCTTTACATCCATTTGATGTAACTCAAGATTGATGCACCACGAATGCCATTATAATCCTGAAAGAGTCTTTCAAAGAAACCGGAGAGAAAGTCTCTTTATAGTCGATGCCTTCTCTCTGTGTAAAGCCCTTTGCGACAAGATGCTCCTTATACCTCTCCACATCGCCTTTCAAATCCCTCTTGGTCTTAAATATCCATTAACAACCAATGAGTTTCGCACCTTCTGGCAATGGGACAAGATCCCACACGTCATTGTCCTTCATGGACTTAATTTCCTCATTCATGGCATCAATCCACTTCTGAGAGTTAGAACTTTCCATGGCTTGACGGAAGTTGATCGGATCATCTTCCATCACTCCAATGTCTACCTCATGTTCTTGGAGAACTACAATGTAGTCATTTGGAACTGCACTTCTCGTTTCTCTAGTGGACCTCCTTAATGGCATAGGTTCTTGAGGTGGCAGAGTTTGTTCTTCTGCAACAATTTCTTGTACGGGAGGTTCTTTGACATTGTCTTGATTTGTTGTGTCTTAAACAAGGTCAGGAATGAGATCATGATCAATGCCAATAGCACCTATGGGAATATCAACATATTTCTCTTCGAAGACAAAGTCCCTAACTGTATTTCCCCTCATAAACTTGACATGTTCAAAGAACCAGGCATTTCCTGACTCAAAAATGACTTAGTCGTGGGATCATAGAACTCGTACCCCTTCAATCTTTCAGAGTATCCAATAAAATAGCAACTAACTGTCCTTGAGTCCAGTTTCTTTTCATTAGACCTATAAGGCCTTGTCTCAACTGGACATCCCCAAACATGGAAGTGTTTTAAACTAGGCTTCTTGCCTATCCAAAGTTCGTAAGGGGTTTTGGCAGTCGCTTTAGTTGGAACCCTGTTAAGGATATATGCTACAGTCTTAAGCGCTTCTCCCCAGAGTGATTCTGGTAAAGTAGAATGATAAATCATACTCCTCACCATGTCCTTAAGCGTCATGTTTCGTCTTTCAGTGACACCATTCATAGTGGACGAACCCGACATAGTGTATTATGGGATGATACCACATTCCTCTAGGACCTTAGCAAACGGTCCTGGACGTTGTTCACCTGAACCGTCATATCTACCATAGTACTCACCACCATAGTCAGATCTGACGCTTTTGATTCTTTTGTTGAGTTGGTTCTCAACTTTAGCCTTATAATTTTTTGAACACATCCAGCGACTGTGACTTTTCATGTATGAGATATATGTAGCCATATCTAGAAAAATTGTCTATGAACGTTATAAAATATTGTTGATCATTCCAAGCAACCATAGGGAATGGCCCACAAATGTCCGTATGTATAAGTACTAAGATGTCCAAAGTCTTGTTGGCTTCAAATCTCCTTTTATTGATTTGTTTCCCCTTTATACATTTAACACAAACATCAAAATCTGTGAAATTTAAGGGGTCTAGAATTTCATCTGACATAAGTCTCTTTATTCTCCGTCAGGATATATGACCTAACCTCTTGTGCCATAACGCAACTGAATTCTCACTGGTTAATTTTCTCTTTATGCCTCGTGTACTTAATTGCAGGGATTCACTAAATGAAGCAATTGTATCAATCAAATATAGATTATCATAACCTGATAAAGAACTGGTTCCAACCAATTTTGAATCATGAAACAAACTAAATTTTCCATTCCCAAATAAACAAGAATAGACTGATTTGTCCAAAGTAAAAATATAAATCAAATTTCGTCTAAAAGACGGTACAATAAATGTCTCATTAAGATCCAAATAAAATCCAGTCTTTAATAATAATCTAAATGTTCCTATTGCTTCAACTTGAACCATCTTGCCATCGCCCTCATAGATGTATCTTTCACCATCACTTGGCTTTTGGCAACTCAGGCAACCCTGCATAAACACACTGATGTGAGTTGTTACACCAGAATCTATCCATCACGTGTGTCTAGGTACTAAAGTTAAATTAACCTCATAATAAACTAAATTAAAAAGCGTGCAATACTTCTTCTTATGCTTTTTAACTCCACAGAAGAAACAACTAGTACCTTCTGGTTAAACCAGTTTCTTTTACTTATTTCTTTTGAGGTTCCGTATCTGCAGCTTTCTTATCCTTCTTCCATTTGTTTTCCTTGTCCTTGCCCTTAGAGGTTGAGGCTAGGTGAGCACTCTATGCCTTATCTTGCTTTAGCCTTTCCTCTTCCTGAACATAGTGTGAGATGAGCTTATTCAGAGACCAAGTCTCTTTCTGACAGTTGTAGCTCACCTTAAACTGGCTAAACTATGTCGGAAGAAATATCAGAACTAGATGCACCAGCAAGTCCTCAGAGAGTTCAAGCTTAAGTCCTTTCCACTTTGAAGCAAGATGAGACATCTCTAGGATGTACTCCTTAATATTGCCTTTGCCCCTATTCCTCATTGAAATTAGACTTGTCAAGAGCGTACCTATTTCAACCTTTTCGTTCTTCAGAAACCTTTTTTCAATGTCCGCAAGGAACTCCTTAGCCGTAGTAATCTTATCAGACATTGTGCCCCTGAATGCTTCTGGAATGGCCTTCTTCATGATCATCATAGACATGCGATTTGATTTCTCCCACCTTTCAATATCTTTCTTTTCATCAGAGGTACTCTTATCCGTAAGAGGTGGAGGAAAATCAACCCTTAACGCAAGGTCCAGATCCATGACTCCGAGAACTATCAAGAGGTTCTCTTGCCATAACTTAAAATTAGAGCCATGTAGCATATGCATAGAGTTGATGTTGGTAGTAATATTAGCAGGAATCATAGCTAAACAGAGAACAACAAACAAACAAACAAAACAAGCTCACATAAGTCCCAAAACAAAAATTAAATTCAAATAAAGGTAAACCCTATCTCAAGATATCGGGCAGTCCATTAACATTTCATCTTTGGAAAAAATATTAACTTGTAAGTGATATCTTGGTGTAGTAATCAAACACTGATAATAAGAACACGCCAAACAATAAATCTTCCTTTAGGCCAATTTATTGTTCACATGTAAAACTGAATAATCATCACGCATTTATTACCACAGGTGCACATGCAATTCTGTTAAATATTGACTTTCCTTTGGGCCGATCAATATTCACATAAGTTACATATACACACCCGTTTATATTCAAAAACAAATTAATTTCCACAAGAGAGGTCACTTTGGCGACATGTTGCTTCAATTAATTCATCTCAAAATATATATAACCATACCAATATCTGAATTTAAAATTGTACCAAAATGACAAAAAAAGTCAAAGACAAAGGTCAACAATTGACTGGTCAGGGGCTGCACCGGGTTGGGTTGAATCCTCAACCAGCACCATCTCATTAATTTTGTGGGTCACGGGCCCATTCCTAAAGGCCCGAAGGACCTTTCAATTTTTTTAAATAGCTGCGGGCCAAGCCCGGAGCTTACTCTCTTGTCACGGGCCCAATTAGGCATGTGCATCTCAAACCCTAGGGGTCTGTTCGACCCTTAGGTGAATTGGCGGCCAAACGGTTGCCAGTTGCAGAAGCCTCAGCCAAACGACCGTGGCTTTTCTTCTCCAGCGCAGCCCAACGGCTGCGCCAGTATATCCAGATATGCAAAAGATCCTTTTTTTCTTTTTTTTCCTTAGGAGGCAGCCTCTTTTCTCCATTATGCCACGGCCACAGGCCGTGGCTGTCCTTGCCGGCGAGGCCAAAAAGCCGTGCCTGGAGCCTACATCACCGGTGGCAGAAGGATTGCCGTTGGCCCCAAATTTCTGTATTGGGTTAAAGAACTAGCCCAAAATAGCCCGAGAGTATTGAAAAATAACCAAAGAAGAACAACCAGATTTTTGTTCTCAATTCAACAACCATAGAACAAAAATAATCCGTAATCTCAATGATTTAACATGAAGAGACTTTGATACCACTTGTTAGAAATCAATGATTTGGTAAAAACCATCACCCAAAAGCCAAGAACATTCATGTTAGATCATCAAGAATTAATAAATCTGTAAGCGGAAACGTACCTGAATCCATATTGACTGATTTCTCTCTGGAGTCGTGCAGTTTGTCTTCCAGATCAACACGTTTTCTTAGAGAACCCTTTAACTTTCTCTATGTCCTCTCTCTGGTGATGGGATGTCAGAAGGAATAGAATGTAACGTGCGATCTGGGGACCATAACTGCTATATATATAGATAACTTCCTTGTTATCTTTTGATATTTCTATTTTAGCCCATCATAAAAATAGATATTCCTATTTTAGCCCATCATAAAAATAGAAATTACCCTTAAGTCTATATACGTTAAAGTCTAAAATACCCAAACCTTAGTAGATCATTTTTAATTGGGCTTAATTACCTTATATGATAGTCCGCAATAAATAATTATTCACATATAAGCTCAACATTGAATTAAGGATCCGTTATTTTCTTCTTTTGACAGACGATTGCTTAATAGCCTCTCTTTTTCAATAACCTACATCAGATTAAAAAAAATCACCTGAAAAAAAAAAAACATTTAGCCTCCTAAAACATGTATAAACCATTTATATTACTAGAGCCAAGGCCATTTCCAAAATTGATTGTTCCATTTAAAAAAAAAAAAGGATATCGAGAGCTTTTCCAATTGTTATTGCTCAACATTGAATATTCAAACAGCAACTTGTACATTTCAAAGAAAATGTAATTTGTGTTTGAAAAGGCAGACTATAGATTATTTTGTACCTTCAGTAAGACAATATTTAAAGGTGTGTTAGAAAAGAGGGGGAAAAAACTACCAGATTATTTTTCTTTTTTCTAGAATACTCTCCACTAAATTATGTAACATAAATCTTAAGTTTCAAAACATGGGACGACAATCTAAAGGTAAAATCTTTTTATGGAATTCCTGAATTGCTCTGGGTCTTGTCATTGCCTTACCCATGTTTTTATTTCTTCTAGGTTTGCCTCTTTTTATAAGTGAATTATTTTTTGTTTTATTTTTTCTTTACGTTTTCTGCTTCGGGATTGGTTTTTTTT